GTAGCAAAGTGTCATTTCTTCAGTGTTGTCACATGAAAAGATATAATAAAATATTTACAAAAATGTGAGGGGTGTACTCACTTCTGTGAGATACTGTATATATAATTATTTTTATTTTTATTTCTTAATTTTTTTTTAACATGATCATCCCTTCCTCTTTACTAGTTATATCACAAAATACACGATACACATGTACACCTCATGTCTCAGCTCGTTAGTTCGCTAGAAAAATTAAGTCTACAGAAGAGCATTTGATTAAATACAGTGGGTACGGAAAGTATTCAGACCCCCTTAAATTTTTCACTCTTTGTTATATTGCAGCCATTTGAAGGAGGAATGGCAGAGGATCCCCAAATCCAGGTGTGAAAAACTTGTTGCATCTTTCCCAAAAAGACTCATGGCTGTATTAGATCAAAAGGGTGCTTCTACTAAATACTGAGCAAAGGGTCTGAATACTTAGGACCATGTGATATTTCAGTTTTTCTTTTTTAATAAATCTGCAAAAATGTCAACGATTCTGTGTTTTTCTGTCAATATTGGGTGCTGTGTGTACATTAATGAGGAAAAAAAATTAACTTAAATGATTTTAGCAAATGGCTGCAATATAACAAAGAGTGAAAAATTTAAGGGGGTCTGAATACTTTCCGTACCCACTGTATATGCACTATTTTAGCTTAGAATCGTTATATTTTATTTAACCTGTTAGTGATGTCTTAATTATTTAAATTGTTTGAATAAATCTGTCAAACAAATGACAGATTATGATAGCCACTGTGTAAATGATTATATTTCAACAACGAATTGGAGTAAATGTGATTTTCTAATTTATTTTACAATTTAACATAATTTGTTTTCTGTGCAATTTACATGTTTGCAGATATTTCTTTTTAACATTATTCTATTCAATTCACTTTTATTGTTGGAATTTCATCCAAAAATTGTCTTGCACCCCATGGCATACACTGTCTCTCTTTCAATACACTACAAAACAAAATCCATACAGTTACAGCCCCAATGAACACCAATAATAATAACAACGCATAAATACATTATTAACTGCAATACTTTACAGTGAACACTTCCACGTTTATTATATTATATATTATATTATATTATATAAAATAATATTATATTATATCATCTAAAAATGTAATAGTTTTCGTTCTATTGCTAATTGTAACCTATAGTAATGTGTAAGTAATAGGGCTCCCTATATAGTTTACAGCATTAGCAAAGATAATTTTTTTTTAATCCTTAGGAAAATGTAATTATAATTGAATTTATTTAAAGACTGAGCATCAATTTGTTCAGTAAACCACTGTTTAATGCAAAAAAAAAAATGAGGTATGTACCGACAACTTTACATATAAACATTATATCTACCATCATCAGCAGCCCTGGGGTCCATTCTTCGTACCTTGCTTAATACATCTGAGATAATTTGACACATCCAGATCTTTTAATCGTGATAACTGATCTTTGGCTAATTAGGTTCTTCAAACAAGTTAATGTATTTGATTAAAATATCTGGATTAAGTTGTCTGAGATTACTCCCTGTTGACATGTTCATTGGAAATCATGATCAGTAATGCCGTGATTGGCTGGCGGCAAGACAGCAACGTAATGACATCATATAATTAAGATCAAGGAAACAGCCCAGCCAGCAAAATGACATAAAAAAAACCGGTTACACATTTTATTTATGTATTAGAAATTAAGCGATTCAAAATTATTTTTCATAATTTCTAGAATTTGTACAGGCTTTGCATTTTTCAGTGTCAAGAACATTGTAATTAACAACTCATTTAATTTTGAAGTGGATTTGTTATACGTAGCAGCATTAATTAAAGTTTCTTAATCCATAATGATCTATTAAGACATAACTGACTGTTTAAATGAATGATGCATCATAAAAGCTTTTTGAGATTTGAGAAGTGAATCTGCATCTCTTGGGATGCATCAAAGCTCACCATTCAAATGAATGCACGGCTCAGACAAACTGTACGTAATGTGTGCATGACTGCAATAAAATTGAGATAATTATTCCTTCACGAATAAATCTCTCATTAAGTAAAACTGGTTGTGTCTATTATTATAGATATGCAACATATTCATTATTTTCAAAATAATGTAAAAAATTATTATCTTTTAAAATAAGTTTTCCTGGTTTAATAAGGTACACTTGTAAGAAATTAGCAGTGGCTGGGACAGACTTTCAGTATCATCTTCACTTAAAATGATACAATCTAGTCCTGTTTACATGAAATAAGCCTGCTCCCGAGCAGGTTTGAGCTAACAGGCCTGTTACTATGACAGCAACTCCGGGATGAGCTTCGAAGAACCTAACATTCTTGGGTCATGTCAAATCGTCAACAGAAAAATCCAGCTAACGGAGTAATCCACGTACGAAGAACGGACCCCTGGTCTCTAGATACTGGTATCAGCATTTGTTGATCACTAGAGGTTTTGTCTTTCATGCATACCCGTGCATTGGCATGCTTCATTATTCTAAATGTGAAATAATGATCTTTTATTCTCTTAATGCAGGGTATGTGTAAAATGACAACTGAGGCCATTTCGTCTGGACAGACTAGTGTACAGGCTGAACTGAGACGTACTGCTAACACTCGTAAGTATTAAGTTGTTTTGCATATATAAATGTTTGTACCTTGTGTCCTTAATTGACAGTTTCCCTGCAGTTCTTCTACTGGTTGCTCATACAGGGAGTGATTTATCTTTGTTTGAGTGGGCTACAGCTGTAGCTCTGGTAATGTTCATGTTCCCCTGACAGCTGCCACACGCATGATCGCCAGTGCTCTGAGCCGGGACTCCCCACCAAGTACGCCTGCCCGGCACCCTGACAACAGAATTTCAGTAACGGTCTCCAACGCCAGTGCTAAAACAGGTACATGTGATTAGGTTAACAGTTAGTGATGTCAAGTTTTTTACTAAATGCAAATGCTAGTCATATAAAAGCATATAAAATGTATACATGTAGCATATATACTATTGTTAAAATTTGGGGTTGGTGAGATTCTTCAAATAAAAGACTGTAATATTTAAAGGGGTCATATGACGTTGCTAAAAAGAACATTATTTTGTGTATTTGGTGTAATGAAATGTGTTTATGCGGTTTAAGGTTAAAAAAACACATTATTTTCCACAAAATGTACATTATTGTTGCTCCTCTATGCCCCGCCTTTCTGAAATGCATTGATTTTTACAAAGCTCATCGTTCTGAAAAGCGAGGTGTGCTCTGATTGACCAGCTATCCAGTGCGTTGTGATTG